CGTCACCATCCAACGGCAGCTGGGGCGACTCTTGGTAACATCTCAACCGTCCAATGTTTTAACCAACACACGCTTCAGTTAAAAGGTGTAGGAGCAAAACACGTTTGTACCAAAATAGAACAGGGCCACCAAGTTATCCAAAGAACAATCCAGCCCAACCGCATTACTTCAGCCCATTTAATCAGGATTAAGCCCAATCATCATTGTGCCATTTCCCCACAAGTATAATTAGAATTACTCAAATTCAAAAATTAAAGTCTTGCATACACTGTATGAAAATAAATAATGCAAACTAATATAAAAAGGCCAAGAATTTAAAAAAGAAACGCCAATTAATTAAAAAAAATCTTTATATTTTATTAAATTTCACTCCATCTTGGTTTGAGTTTTCAAATTTAGAATAGTTTTCAAGTAATAAAGGTCACTTGACCCCACCTACCTATGCTAAACTAGAAGTCGAACTGTCAAGTTGCATTGTACAGTGTACTAACATTACCCTTCAAATAGCCATCAAGTTATTTTGTGCACTATATTTTTTCCAACTTAAAAAACTTAATCGAGTTCCGGTACTACAATTTGTCCTTATTAGTAGTAATAATTAGTAATTATGAACGTGAAGTTAAAATTAATATTTGACTTTGATTCAATTTATAAATTGTATTGAAAGGAAAGCTTTGTCAAATTGTAGAAAATAGCAGTTCATTGAAATTCTCTTGTTCACGGAAAAAATTTCAATGTAGAAAAGTCAAGAAATGAGCAAAAATGAACAAAAAAAAAAAAGAAAAAAAGGGACCAAAAGACACAATTGATTTATGCTTTTGTATGAATTAAATTTACTTACAAATAATACGAAAATAAACAATATTTGAACCGTAGAAATATAATTATAATTTAAATTCTCGCACAATTCTCATGGCTTAATTTGGTCACAAGCATCTTAATCTTAAGGGATTAAAAATAGCATATTCTGAAAACAAAATTGGCCTATATTATTTTTTTGAATTTAGAAAAATATTCTCCTTTAAATGAATAATTTTAAATGGATCCTTTACATTTTTTCTTTTTATTCTTGTTTTTAATTGACCTTTTCATTCATGGTTGTAGTAGGAAAAATTGCTTTCTTAGGCAATCCTGTTTTCAAATGATTCAATCCATTTCTGATTATTAGATTTAGAACCCTCCCTCGTCGTCATCTACATGTATATAATGATTTACATATACATAATGTGGTGATATATGATTAGGCCCCCGTTTAGACTACCTTTTTATCTTATTAAAATGAAAAATAAGACTGTTATTCATCACATCAACATTTAAATTCAAATTTTCTATCTCTTGTGTGGACCTCAATAACGACTATATTTTTCATTCTCATTCCACAATAAAGTGGCTCAAACATGGCCTAAATAAGAATTTTTTCAACCAAATAAAAAACAAATCTTCATCAGTTTTTTTTAACACCTTATCTTTATGTAAATCATTTATTTAACTATTTATGTGCAAGTATCATTATTCTTGCATTTAATATCACCCCCATTGACTTATTTTCGTATGAGAATGGCTTACTTTATTGACAATTAATTAAAAACATGAAAAATTCTTGATCGACTAGTTATAATTATTCAAGTTTTCCTCGTTTTACGGAAAAAACCTATGTAATTTTGCATATCATTACGGTAGGTTAAAATATATATTGCTTAAGAATTAAAACAAATTAATTCCTAATATTTTTTTCTCAAGTAACTTTGTTAATTTTAGTTCTTTATGCCCTTCTCAACATCGATCTTTTTTAAGAGGAGGAACAGATATAGCCTAAAAAAGTAAAGTCACATGACTCATTTAATTGAGTATATCATTTAATGACATATAATTGCCATATATATGGGGCTCAACCTCAGTAGGGATGAATAACATTATTCAAAAGCAAAGTGGAGGAGGGTTTTTTTTTTACATTAAATGTATAGCTAAAGACACTAATTCCAAACAAATTAATTTTTCTTTAAAAAAACAATAATTTCCAATATTGAAAAATCAGTTAAAAAAAAAATAACAGAAGTTGTGTTCATTTTTGACCGTTTGATTTTTCAAAAAAATAAAATAAAATTCAATGATTAATTTTTTTTTTTTTGAAAAGTCAACGGTCAAAACAATTTCCTTTTTCTCCATTACAAACCCTCC